AATTGGTTTTATGACTGAGGCCTCAAACAGAAATGTGTATACCTCTTTCTTTCTTTCTTTCTTTCTTTATGTAATCCTTGTAAAGCATGCACATATCAAGGAATAAATGTGTATCTAATCTATAACACTAGTGGAACTTCCTTTTAATCAAATAATTATTTGTCATATTTAGGACAAGCTTTTGTGGAAACTGCCTTCTCTGCGGTGACAGCGGTGACCATAGGCCTTAGTGAACAAGAGGTAAGGTATTTCATCTTAAGCTGTTATACCCAGCAGTAGTGCAGTTTTTGACTCAGACAACTCAATGCTACACTTTATTTACAATTTCAAATAATTTCTTGCAGATGCAGTATTGTTTGTTTGTTGGTTGGTTGGTTGGCAGATCTAAGAGGACACTTTGCACCCTACAACCAACCTACAATTATCCACATTTGCCTAATATTGTTTTTGTTTGGTTTTATACAGGTGTCTGATGTTGATGCAGTCTGGGAACTAGTATCTTTTGGGTTGCTGACTATCATTGAAGATGATGTACTTCTCCAAATATTGTCTACCTTGACCCTGTATCTTCTGCCATCATTGTTCAGGGTAGTATACTGCAAAGAACATTTTCCATAATCTACCTCAACCATTTGCTCAAGAGCTTTCTGACCCTGCACGGATAACAATGCAACTGAAATGTTCCCAGGCCCAGAAATGTAGTGTGGTAACACTTACTAAAGTAATACAGAGGAAATGCTGCTTTTTAATTGGTTTTATGACTGAGGCCTCAAACAGAAATGTGTATACCTCTTTCTTTCTTTCTTTCTTAGATTTTTAAATATTTGACATTATTTAAAAAATATATACTTTTGCGAACTCCTCCAACCCAACAATAGGTGGTGGTATAACAGTCATAAATGTTCAAAATCATCATATTTCTATGTAAAATGATCAAAAATGTTTTTTTAAATCATTGATTTAGGTGGTTACAGGCTTGCTAAAAATATGTAATGTCTTTATGTGCTTAAATGCCTTAAAGTGCTTGAACGCTGATAATAGCTGCTTGCAGCTATATTTCTAATTCCTATTCATACAATCGTGAGAGATATGTTCTTTAATACAGCCTGAAATATAATTTAACAAACACATTTGGTGTTATGATTTTAAGTGTAATGATCAATTAATATGAGTTCATCTGTAGGCCTACTGAGGAATGATTTGGTATGTTTAATCTGGCTCATCTCTGTTTTCATGTAATTATGCATGCAGGAAAATTATGTAATTTGATGTACAGTGAATTCAGAATCAAAACCATTTCATTCTTTAAACAGTTGTTTTTCAATTAATTAAGAGCACCTTTTCCTCTAAAATACAGGGAGGTTAAGTTTATAACCCATTATGTAATAAGTAAATGCAATGCTGGTAGGAGGAATGAGGAAAAAGATTAAAAAGAGGAAGATTCCCAAAACAATGCTCGGGTGTGGTGAAATAATCCTCTTGACCCCCCTGATATTTCAGGTATTTCATCAGTAATACCTAAGTAAACATAAAACTACAAGTTGGTGCCTGCAGTCACACTGTATAAAGTTCTTGTCACTCCTCCCCTACAACCTACAACTCAGCTCCCCTTTGCTGGCTACTTTCATCGGCAGCACATAAAAGACTGAACCAGAGTACAGTATTTCATACGTTGCTGCAGATCACAAGGCAAAGGAAATTACAATCAAAATCCAATAAACTGAAGAATGGATCCCAGCCAGTTTTCCAATCAGCCTCCAGAGGCCTATAATTCATCTGCGAAATCAGGGTTGCCTGCAGCAGCACCACCAGCATACCAGCATAATCCTGCTGGATATCCTCCTTCCTTTCCAAACCAGCCGGTCCCCCAGGGGCCATATCCAGGACAGCCTGTGGTCACTGTGCAGTCTGCAGTTTTTGTGACCGCTGCTCCACTGGCTGATCCAGTGCCAGATTACCTGGGTTACTCCATCTTTACCATGCTGTGCTGTTGCTTACCTCTGGGCATTGCTGCGCTGATTTACTCCATCTCTGTGAGTATATTAGTTTCATTACATTTTATTGAATTTCTTTGACATTTTTATAATCATTAAGTATACAATAACATTAAGTATAAGATGTTTGTAGAATTTAATATGGTAATCCTCAAAAGTTAATGATTACAGGTGTTGTAATCATACACAGCCTCTATCAATGGTTGGTCAAAAATTCAATTTTTCTGCAATGTGGTTTGGAGAATGAATGGATGGATCATTCTGCACTGACATTTAATTCTAGAAGAAACTATATGTCTTTTTAAACAAAACAAAGTCTAAACATCATCAAAATATGTTTTATGATTGGTACAATCTTTTATTTTATATATTTTATTTGATCATATATATATATATATATATGTGTGTGTGTGTGTGTGTGTGTGTGCGCATGTATATGTATTAGGTATATTACTCACTCATCAAAATGTTTCTATGTGGTTGATCTATTACCTGAAAAGATATTGCTTTTTTTTATCCCCTACGTTGACCCCATGCTGCCCAAATAATTCTAGTGAACATGTACTTAAACAATTTATCATTTTAATAACTAGATAAAAGTAGATACAGTTGACTGCTAAATAGGTGAGAGGCTTGTTAAAGCTTAAGCTGTATTTGTGGTCACACAAATATGTAGGAATTATAAAAATGACAAGAACTTTCCTGTAACTTCCCTAACTGAACAAGTATGTGTGCATTGTTGCAGTTTTCCTGTTAATTTCCTGTAAATGACTGCCAGTTGTATAGATAAAGGTGTGGCACTGGAGACACCCTGAACAATAACTGAGTTTTAATGGGAAAAATATTAACATTTTATAAGTTATTATTACTGTTGTAATAATAGTTTCAGTATAAATAATTTCACTGAAAGAAAAAAAACTAGGAAAACCATTTTTACTCAAAAATTGCAAGTAAATTTAACAACATATTTTAAAGTAAAGGCTACACACAGAGGCAGTTATAGGATTTCATCATCACCTCTCAGTGAGAATATTTAGCAAGAAACCAGTGACTAAGCGGTGCCTCTTTGGAAATCAGCAACACTATTACTATTAAGTCAAAAGTAGTCTACCACTTAAATTGGTACCAGTTTAATACAAAATTTAATAAATTATATGCTTATATTAAATGATTGTCTTTCTGCAGGCTACAGTTCACAAATGAGAAGGCTACTGTTTGACTAACAGAAAATTGTCATTATATCATTATTTTAAACAAGAATTACTGGACAGGTCAGTAGATTGGGGACAGTGTTGAGAAGGTTACTTTGGAGATGTAATAAGTTACAGATTACAAGTTACCCTATTTAAAATGTAATAAATAGTGTAACTATTTAAATTACTTTATTAAAGTAATGTAACAGATTACATTTGATTACTTTTTGATCACTTTTCTAAATTTCTAACAAATGTTTTCAACTGTTAATCATTTTCAAACATTTAAACCAGGCCTTAACCTTACAGTAGTACTTAACACTGATTACTGTCAGACTTTTAAGCCTTCATCACTTGAACTAAGATTAAAATAATTTAATTTAAAGCACCGCCACTACAAAATCAGTCTTTAGCACCTCTTTACTTTGAGATCATTCCGAGATTAAATATTAATTTAAAATTAACAAGAAATAGTTTTAATAGCTATGATACTGTTTTTGAAATTAAATCTTTGCATAGCTATGACAGGAAACATTTATTTTTAAAAAACAAAAAAATAATATATATATATATACAGTATATGTGTGTGTGTGTGTGTGTGTGTGTGTGTGTGTGTGTGTGTGTGTGTGTGTGTGTGTGACCCTGGACCACAAAACCAGTCTTAAGTGTCAATTTTTCAAAATTCAGAGTTATACATCATCCGAAAGCTGAATAAATAAGCTTTCCATTGATGTATGGTTTGTTATGATAGGATCATATTTGGCCGAGATACAACTATTTGAAAATCTGGAATCTGAGGGTGCAAAAAAATTTAGAAAATCGCCTTTAAATTTGTCCAAATAAAGTCCTTAGCAATGCATATTACTAATCAAAAATTAAGTTTTGATATATTTATAGAAGGAAATTTACTAAATATATTCATGGAACATGATCTTTACTTAATATCCTAATGATTTTTGGCATAAAAGAAATATCTATAATTTTGACCCATACAATGTATTTTTGGCTATTGCTACAAATATACCCCAGCGACTTAAGACTGGTTTTGTGCTCCAGGGTCACAGCAGGGGGAAAAAACTAAACAAAAATTTTTTTTTGTTTTATAAACAATGGTTTACTGAATAAATAGCTTTTTCTTTAAATAAATTCAATTATAATTAACATTTTCTTAGGAATAAAAATCTACCTCAGCTTATGCTCTAAACAATAGGGAGCTCGTTTACATTACAATTGTAAAAGGTTACAATTAACAAAAGAGCCCAAACTTAAATTGAATTACTATTTATTTTTAAATATAATAATCAACACTCAACTTAAAAAAAAATTATGCAGACGTGTAAATTGCACATATTGCAGTTTTTAAAACTACAGTACGTAAGTTTTGCTCTTTGTCGCCATATCTGTTTGAAACATGCAATTGCAGTTATTTGCGGAATTATTTTCTTAACGTGAGTTGTGCACCAGCACGCTGCACAAATGTAATGTTTTGTGGAGTATGTGTGGCTGTCAGTCACTGCATCAGTGTGGATATTCACTGTACTTCAGAATCACAGATTCTAGCTACGTCTTGGAATTATGACCCAAATAAGGATTTTCATTTGTGGTTTCATCAAGTGGCCTAAGTAACAAGTCTGCCACTTTTGTTCTGACCAACTGAGGAAAAAAGCATTACAATAAATCGCGCTACTAATGGTGATTAAATCTAAAGATCGGTTAGCTTATATCACATCAAACCGTGCAAATTATTATTACTGTTATACTTTGTTCTCAAATTGAATGTTAACAACATCAGCATTGTGTGACTAATGTATGTAGTGTGTGTTAGCATTACACATAGATCTCAATTTCTGTACAGTCTGTAACAGTCTCCCTAAGAACACCCTAGAGATGCGAGCTACAAGATAATTAGAGGGAGGGACCCACCGACCAAACTTGCATTTGAACAAACAAATCAAACACAAAATTTGAAAGATCAGGAAAAATGTATTAACATAAACAAAACCCATCCAAAATAATCAAAATAGCAAACAAAAGGAAAAATACACACAATACTGGCACTGACGTTTAGCAATGCAGTTGAAAGGAAAAGAAAACCTTAGATGACAATTGTCATGTAGTTCGTAGAGTAATCCCTATAAATTGTAGCTTAGAGTCAATTGTCCCATGCAGTGATGAAGTGTCCAGTAAGTTTAGGAATCCAACAAAACAGTTAATCCAAAAAGCCAAATGATGAAGGCCTTGATACCGCTGTCCTCCGAATACTGAACCCTCAGGTTCCAAGCACAACAGCAGCATAGAATTCGCAATGTTGATGGATTGAAGATGCGTGTATATAAAAAAGTCCTTTTGATCGAGCTTAAAACCACAGTTTCTCAATCTGGACTCTGTGTATCTTGGGTGAACCATGAGAGACAAACCCCTTGTCCAAATACCCACACTTGCGGTCTTGGCCACTTGAGAGCGCATGCACGCGACAGGAAGTAAGTGCGCAAGACTGTCCCAGGTCTTAAAAATACCAAAGCGCAGTGCCCTTAACGCACACTAAATCCACACTATCTCGAATACCGCTCCAGAGCGCTGTTCGAGGCTTAGTGTATCCCATCATGCATCATGTTCTCGAAATAAATTGTGAGACTTTTTGCCGAGATCTCGCAAGAGGTTTTGGAAACCTTTCCGATGCAAGTTAAATATTAATATAATAATTAGATATTACCAGGGTGCGAACTGCGGGGGAGCTAGGGGGAGCTCGGCTCCACTTAATAAGACATGGGCTCCCCTGAAAACGTGATTTGTGAAATTTTGGGGGGTCTCAAAAAATATTGACAATGTGTTATTTTGACATGCAATTTCAGTTTTGTGTAATGTGATCATCGTGGAATATTATATGTAAAATTGCAAAAATATCATTCATTCATGCATGACGGCGATTTAAACCTAATTCACTTCAATAAAGATAACTATACATGCTATTGTTGTCATGAGCATCAAGGTGTGGGGGCGCTGCGGTGCAAATTCCACTCATGTTTAGTACATGTTAACTCAAAGATTCGTAGAAAAAATATAAACGTTGGGCTCTAGTCGATTCTGAGTTAAGGTAAGGCATGTTATTCGCAATTAAGTGTTGTGGCTGGGTTGTTATAGGTCTGCGTGACTCTCGATGTCTTAGGCTTAATTGAACGGAGGAATTATGGTATTGCAGCCTGACAAAAATGGCTGACATTATATATTTCACAATTGTTTTCACAGACTCGAGATGCCAACTACTCAGGACAGCGAGAATTAGCAGAGAAGAACTCCAAAATGGCACGCACCCTGAACCACATCGGCCTTGGTATTGGCCTCGTTGTCATTGTATTGGTCATTATCAGCCAGATTGTGATTTGGACTAATAGATAAAAGTTGCTAGAGCTGACATGGTTGGACGCAGATTACAAACAGATTTGTTTTTCTGTATTTTAAATGTTACTTGCTCAATTTCTCATTACTCTAGTATGCGTTAAGGCTGATTGTTGTATGTTTAAACCAATGAAAGCTACCACACAGTTTCTATAATGTGTTGTTCAGATGTTTTGCTTATGTGACATATCTTGTGTGCAGCTGTGCTAATTTTATATATATATAAATAAAACATAGCATATATATGCATTTAGGTACATATATACATAAATCTGTATGTCTGTCTATTTATCTTTGTTGTTGTTGTTGTTGTTGTTATTTACCACCACATTTATCATGCAGGAAGTAGTGCGTCTGGCTTTTAATATGAGAGGATTGTACAAACCACATACATACAGTATGTGTGTAATGTGTCTCCAAGATTGAATATTGTTAAAGAAACATGCAAACAATTTACCAATGTGAGGATAAATTAATAAACAAATAAATGACTATATGATTTGAGTTATTACCTACAGTACCTGCCACATTTTAAGAAATGAATGTCATCAGAAAAGCACAACAACCAAAAATACTACAAAGACAGTTTCCAGTGATCAACCAACTTAAACAGAAATGAAAGTGTTGTCAAATAATCAAATCGGAAAGCACAAACATTTTTATTTTTAAATCAGAGATGACGATTTAAACACAAGTAAAGTTGTAAGTATAGACATGGACTGCTGAGAGGAGGAAACTACAGTATTTATGATGGCTAGAATCCATTTTTTTCTGAATAAGACAGCAATTTGCTACATTTCCACAGTAATACCATACTGAAATAGGTTACATTGCAAATCTAAAAAGCAAAATACTTTCAAAACAATTAGGTGTAGATGTAGTTTTCCATTTTGTGAAATGTGTCTCATCTTTTGTTAATAAAAACTGTAATTGGAGGGGAGGAAGAGCCCACCCCCCAGAGAGTACCACAACGCATGCAAACAAGGCACAGCGCATGCGTGTTCTAGCCTACATCAGAACACCGGCTCCTGCGTCAGCAGCATCACACGCGTGGGTCATGGTACTCTCGTGAATGGCAGCGGAAGAGAAGAAATTGTTGAATGAATTTGTTATTTTTGTTTTGTTTGTGCACCAAAAGGATATAATCTTGTAGATACATAAAATTACGGTTGAGCCGATGTCCTTACTACCTTTCTGGACCATGAACGTGGTAGTTCAATTTTTTGAACAATTTTTATTATACTAACACAGACGCTGTTATATTAAAACAACAATTAAACCATCCATGTTTTAATAAAACCCATAAAAGTAATCCCTCTCCTCAGATTTAAGGATTCATACATAATGAATGTGCAACTGCAGTAACCCACAGCTGCCAAATCTCTGAACAAACTCCCACACTATAGGTGCTGATTGCTGAAGAAAAACAATAAAAACAAATAAACAGCTTTCGTTTTGGAGCTTTGATGCAACCATCATCTCCTCAAGGTGCAACCAGGAAATAAACTGCTTTGGTCATGTGGCAATTTGCACTAATCATGTGAAACTGCACATCTTTAATTGAGACCTTTTATTTTTTTCCATATTTGCAGGAAGTGCACTAAAACATCAGTCAGTAAGGTTTTTAGAGCTTTAGAAATGAGAACCTTTTTTACGGTCACTATTGTGACCGAAGTACAGGAAGCCGCAAGGTCCCAAAATGTGCTTCAGTGTGGGGAAATAATCCTCTTGATATTTCATGTGTCTCTTCAGAATAAATGTGAAACCACAAGGTGGCGCACATTGTATGTTGAAAACAGGGGTAAAGTTCTTGTCTCTCCTCCCCTACAAACCTACAACTCACCTCCCATTTGCTGACTGCCTTCATCAGCACAAACCAGCCTGAACCAGACAACAGAATACATCTCAGCAGAGCACAAGGCAAAGGAAACTTAAATCAAAACCCAATATTCGGAAGAATGGATCCCAGCCAGTCTTTTAATCAGCCTCCAGGGGCCTGGAATTCATCTGAAAAATCAGTGATGTTGTATCCTTCGGCACCACCACCAGCATACCAGGCCAATCCTGCTGGATATCCTCCCTCCTTTCCAAGCCAGCCATTCCCCCAAGGCCCCTACGCCCAGGGGCCGTATCCAGGACAGCCCATGGTTGCTGTACAGCCTGCAGTTTTTGTGACAGCCGCTCCACTGGCTAGTCAAGTGCCAGATTACTTGGGTTACTCTATTTTTACCATGCTGTGCTGCTGTTTTCCTCTGGGCATTGCTGCAATTATTTTCTCCTGCTCTGTAAGTATTAGTTCATGTGCTTTCCTTTTATTTAATTTCTTTATTTAGGTGACAAATTGCTTCTAAATTGCTTCTTTTGTCACAAAAGTTATTTGGTCGAATATTATGGTTTTAAAGTGTTTCTATTATGAGCCTCAATAATTAATTGATCATTATTCTTTTATCATTCTGCACTAGGGGTTTGGAGAATGAATTGATGAATATATATATATATATATATATATATATATATATATATATATATATATATATATATATATATATATATATATATATATATATATATATATATATATATATATATATATATATATATATATATATATATATATATATATATATATATATATATATATATATATATATATATATATATATATATATATATATATATATATATATATATATATATATATATATACAGTATGTATATAGTATTCAGTAGTATATATATATATAGAGAGAGAGAGAGAGAGAGAGAGAGAGTATGAATATATGTATAGTAGTAGGTATATTATTATTTCTGTGTAAGTCACTATTGATATCAATGCAGAACTATTTGAGCAGGTTTTCTCAAAAATTATTACTCACTCCACGGATTTTTTTCTACATGCTTGATCTATTGTCTGAAACTCTATTGCATTTTAAAAGAAAAAAAACCCCACATTCATCCCACACATTATGAGTGATTCACTTCCTAAATGATTCTAGTGAACACAGTGTATTTTTGAATACAGCAGTAATAACTAATACATTTCCTGTACATGACATAGCACTGTAAACTATTTTATAACTAAGATACAGAGAAGGCTATGTGAGCCTGTTAAATAGCCTGTAAAAGTGCTGTACTTGTGATTACAATAATATGTAAACAAGACCATTTATTTCATGTAGCTGCCATGCTCCACTGATAAAGTATGTGTACAAGTGGGTGGGGGTTCCTGTCTTGTGGTTTCCAGTAAATGACGGTCAGTTGAGAAAAGGTGTGGCGCTGCAGACCTCTCAACAACAACATATTTTTAAGAAAATATATAGACCTATATATATTATTTTAGTTATCTTTGCTGTTTTAGTGCTGTATAGATAATTTCAATGATTTAAAAAAACAGAAAGAAAAACAAGGAAACTATTTTTATAAAAAAAATTGCTAGCAAATTTAACAGCATGTTTTCAAGTAGGCTAAAGGCTTCACATTCAAATTTGTCATCTTAACGTGGTAAAACTGTGCGTCTTTACACGTGCTAAAGAAACGTGTTGAAAACTGACGCCTTAAAGGAGTAGTTCACCAAAAACCTAAAATTAACCCATGGTTTACTCACCCTCAATCCATCCTAGATGTATATGACTTTCTTCTTTCAGACAAATGCAATGTCCAGGCACTTCTAAGTTTTATAGTTATAGTTATTTTTAAAGACTTTTTTATTTTTTAGAAAATACAATTTTCTACTTAAATGTGACACTTTGAATTAAACTTGAAATTTTGAAGTAGTATTTTTAGAAGTATTAGACATTTTATTAGAAGCATTATATTATTTTCTTTAAAAACACTCCAATAAGCTTTAAAAAAAAACAAGAAAAATGTTTTACAGTGTAGGTCAAATGACTGCATGCAGGTTCTTCAATTTGGGGTTAAGAACCATAAGATGGTTTTTATGTGTCTAAAATGTGTTGAGTTTTCAAGTTAATTTGAAGAGCTTGATTTATTGATTTAGGTGCATTAGAACAGGGTTACTAATGGCAGACGGCTGTTTGAGGCCTCTGTTTACACTCTGTCAATACAATAATGCAGCCTCAACTGGTCAAACTGATAGAAATGAACGTCCAGATTACAAAGCAAACAACTTAGAATGATGATCCGTGCGCAAACCAATTTTTTGTAAGCACTAAGATCAGTTAAATGAAAGGTTTTCTGCAACCTTCAAGATTTAATGGCCAATGGTCTGACAAGAATATTAACCATAATAATAGTAATTTGCACTAATACTAATAAATAAAATATTAAATGTTTAAAAATGTATGACATGTTGGTCTGACTTGGTTTAAATATATAAATACAAAAATATTGTGTTGTTTGCTTGTTGGTACAGCATAAATTTAGCATAAATAAATAGTATTTAATACAACCTAGAAACCTTCCATCAAATGAAAACAAAGTATTAAATGTTACTAAGAAAACCCATCCACAGAGTGGAGTTTGCCCCCTCTTTTGAGAGCTCCCCCATCTGCCATTGGCTCAAAGAAACTCAGAATGAGAACAGAAGTGGCTGACACTGTGTTTCACTATTGTTATTACAGGCTCGAAACGCCAACTTCTCTGGACAGCGACAATTAGCAGAGAGTAACTCCAAAACGGCGCTCAACCTGAATCATGCTGCCCTTGGTATTGGCCTCATTGTCATTGTACTGTTGATTATTGTTAATATTGTGCTTTGAGTTGATAAAAGCTAATAGAGCTGTCATGGTTGGATGTAGATTACAAACAGATTTGATTCTATGCATTGCAAATGCTGTTTGCTCAATGTATCATTATAGCCTACTTACAACATATGCTTTAAGGCTGATTATTGTATGTTTAGACTTTTTTTTGCTTATCTTGTGTGCAGCTGTGCTAATTTGAGCTTTTTACATAAATTTTTATTATGTACATGTACTGACATAAAATATATTCACTGATTATATCTTTCAAATTACTGTACGTGAATTCTTTTGTCACTCACACACAACCAGTGGCGGCTCGTCGGGGGAGGCAGGGGAGGCACAGCTTCCCCATAATTTTGAGGTGAAAATGGGAGGAGGACGATTTAATGTTAATAAAATTCACAATTCATTTTTAGTTCATGTCTCAGAATGTGTATTTTTTTGTTAGTAATTTCACAGTTGTAATACCATAACGTGAAAGTGC